AGGAACCGGAAGTGACGTCATTTTGCGGAAATGTAGTTTTTTACCATCAGGCCTTATGAGCCTATACTTGTGTTTGTAAAAGTTATGTTTGACTTTATGTCTTTCTGTGTCGTTTCTGGGATGCTTAGGACTCATTGCACTGCTGGAAATAGTTTATTTTGATGCATATGCTGTTTTTTTTGCAAATTTGCATTATAATATTTATTTTCGTTTTTCCTGCAGTATGTGAAAATTGGTGTATTTCAAAAATAAAACTATGAAGACACTTAAAATAAATTTCCTGTGGTAGGAAACTAGTTTGTGCAACTTTTTTGTATTTACAGTTTTGAGGGATGAGCCTCTTAAATTTCTCTAACTAGAAATATATGTAAAAAAAACAAAAACGATTTTAAATTTTTTTGTAGTTTATTGCACTTTTTTGCAATTTATGTAATTACTATGCACTTAATACATACATATTATTAAAATTTAGGCTGTAATGGTTGTATTGATGTATATCAACTTGAAATGCTCCCAAAAATGGCTCCACAGCATGTAAAAATATAATATAAGCTCTGGCGGACTTGGTTCTATGGTAGGTCTTAAAGGGTCAATAAGCGCAATAAATATTTATACTGGAAAAGAAAATCGTGAGAGAATCGTGATCTTAATTCTAAGCCAAAAAAATCGTGATTCTCATTTTATGCAAAATCGTGCAGCCCTAGATGAAACACATCAAAGCCAAAAAATACAGATGAGCTGAAGCTACTATCAAAGCATTCTGGGCTGGACTTCAGCAGAGCTACAGGCCTTGATGCACCGATGCAGTCGATTATGGTACACAAGGCCCAATAAGGTCTTCGGGGTACAAATGAAAAGACTTTTAAGGAGTTGGACATTTCTCTATTGTAGATCATTTTACACAGATGGGTGATTTTTACATTTTTTTATTATTATCTCTTAGTGATTTTGTTCATTAATAACATTGCAGATGGACATAATGATAGATGCCACTCATGTAGAATAACACGGTCAATTTAGTGGTGTCAGTGACGGGTGGTTAAATAAATTTTTAGACTGCAGGATATGAGCTCTGTGGGATTTTCTCTGTAAAGGAGGGCAACTCTAAGAAGCGATGTTTGTTGGTTTCTTGTCAAGGTCATAGGGGCTGTATTGATTATCCACAGTTAAAAGTGCGTCACTCTCTCCGTAATAAACACCTCTGGGAGTGACTAGTTGTCATGGCCAGATGAATTTTTCAAGAAATATTGAGGTTCTCCATCTTAAACTGGCTGTTACTCAATATATAAGTGCTATGTTTAACAAAAACTATTTCTCATATAACAAGCCAGAGAAACTGAGAATGTCAAGCCACTAGACTTCAAAATTGGATTACCAAATTTGATAGTCATAGGGCTTTTTGTGTAAAATACATTTTCATGAGTGGGGAGTCAAATTAAATCCTTGGGTGAATGAGGAATCTTGAAGCTGACTTCAGAGAGCGGACCATGAAGGCCATGTAGGGCATTTGAAACTTACTGTTAGAGGGTCTTATTTAATGGAATTGCTTGACTTTTCTTCTTGTTCACTCTGTATTTCAGATGAAATATGGAGCTAGATGAGCTGCTTAACTTACTATAAAGACTACAAACCCAATTAAAAAAATATCACATTGTGCTCAGAGTAAAATGAAGACTCTAGGATGTCATTGTACCTGACAAAGAAATCGTTTGCTATCTATATCTCAAAGAAATTGTTTTCCTCATTTCCTAGTTAAATGTCTCTTAGCTTAGATTTAATCGACGGACGTGAGCGGCATTAAGCTTTATTGGAAAGAAGATGGCACACGAGTAATGTATTTACACCAATTTTATTAACCATTCTTCCCAACATTCAGTAAATTTCTATAAAAACATTTATATATTTCCATGGACTTGACCATCTTCAGGATTCACTTCCATGGGTGGAAATAATGTCAACCTTGAAGTGACTAAAAATGTAGACCCTATAGCTGTTTGAGCCTGGCTCCAAAAGCAAGTTAATCCTATGATTAACTACAGTACACAACTTTGCATTTTTAAAAAGTACGTTTGTAACCTTGAAGCCTGGAGTTCCCCCACCCCTGGTCTACAACTTTAATGAGTGGCGATATCGTATTGTAGCCTGAATTCCCCGCCATGTTTTCTAGAATAGAATCAACATGCCGATTGCTTTGAAGTCTTTTTGAGCTGGTTTTCAGCTTTGCATTGTGTTGTTGGCTTTGTGTTTATATGTAAATACTAAAAGATTGTGTGTATGGCCTCTTTTAAAGTAACAACCCCAAAACTTTCATGACAATTGGATGGAAAGCACTAGAATGGAAAGATTAGGATTTTAGATTTATGGCACAGTGCTATTTTCCATATAGTTGAGCATCCCATCCTTACAGTGTATGGATTCAGCTTGCTGACTGACTTTAGTAGGCTTAGCTGATAAGTTAGAAATCCAATTTCTTGTCTGAATATGGTAACTCATAGCTCCAAATAACCAACATTGCTACAGATAAAATGCTAGGCTTTAAAATATGAATTGAGTCCAGAAACTGGTGGACAACATTGCAAGGGCTATATCTGTCTTTTATACGGCTGAACAGCCACCTGTGCAGAATTTTCAGGACTTGCCAGCACGCTACACTATTTATTCCCAAAGGGGTTGCCATGACACCAAAAAGAGATAGAACATTGCTAACTGGCTAGCTAGCTAGCATTAGCGTTACTAAGAAAGTTTGGTTTTACTGGTATTGTGTCTTCATGTTTCTCAGGAATGTAGTTTTTATTTATTTTAAGGTTTAGGTTTTGCGCACCTAGTTTTCTTCTTTAGGTTAGTTTCAGCTAACTATGATAGCCTTTGTTTCACACTCAACTTTTTAACCTTATTTGAGTAAAGCACTGAATGTAGCCACACTTGACTGTGTGAAAAGCACTTCTGCAATAATAATAGCAAGTATTTAGTAGCTACTTGCTATTATTACTGCCTAAGGGTGTGATTTAAGGCCCTCGATTAAATGACTTTCAGCTTTTCTAAATGGCCAGATAATTACATGGAAGCAGCATGAAATAGCACCAGAGGATATAAGGTTGTAGCTGTTGCTGGTAAGGGTAATTGACAGATTTCATCAGAATACAAGACTGCTTGTAAAATGTCCAACTTACAGTGCAGATGCAAGAAATTATTTACCATTAGCTTGTAAAGCAGTATAACCTCTCTATCTCATCCATTTTTGGAGGTCTTCATTAACAGAAAACTAGGTGTATGATTCAAATTTCCATTCAAAATTATTTTATTTTCCTTCCGTTTAACGTCTGTTGTCCTTAAAGCTGCAGTCTGTTTTGTGGCCTTACTTTTGACCCAGCCTTCACTTCATATCTGAAAAAACTCTGACACCTTCACATACTCCTGTGCCGCCTCCCATCGGTCCCTTTGTGGTTTTTCCGGGGCCGTGTTGCAGTTGAGCAGACGGTGTGAGCAGTCATCTCTTTTGATGGGCCCCGGGCAGAGACCAGTGGGCACAGAACAGCTGAACCCAATCAACCTATCGATCTCGCCTGGGTTATTTGGGCGAGGCTGGCCTGGTGCACATCCTCTGCTCTAGGCTACCCTCACCTCGACACTCCCCCACCCACCCTCACCCACACCCCTCTGACTCAACATCTTGAGTCTTACTTTACACTGGTTGCCAGGTTACCATGGAGACCGCTGGTCCCATTTCTCTTGTCTAAGTGCTTCTTTCAGTCAAGCTAGGGTGCTCTCCGTCTCTTTCCCCTCAGTTTTATATCTCTGTCTATCTGTCATTCCCCCTGCCTGTCTCTTTGTCTCTTGCTTGCTCCTGCTTCAGCTTATACGTGCACACAGGCTGCTTGTTACGCACATTTGGAATACATTTAGATAATACTGAGATAGTCATTACTTTCAGCAGCTTCTTCTTCAAGATGCACGCAAAATGAAACACTGTCTTCCTCATTGGAAACCTCTGCTTTCTGTCCCTGCAAGATGTCTGCATGAGGGCTTGTTAGGTAGTAACAGAC